AGATGAAGCATTTCATTTACAAGTCAGAAATGCAACATCAGTAGTAACGGACTACAGGTACTTGACAGGTAAGTTACCTACAAAATGCTTTTTAGTCACATTCCACATACCTATTCCAGGCTCTGGATTCTCTTCAACAACAACATAATTTTTAAGATAATCTTTTTGAAGATTTTTTTTTTTTTTTCCCATCATTTAAAATTTGCAAGACACAGAAAGAATTTGTTTCAGAGGAGAAAGCAGCTATTTCTGATGAAAGCAACCCAGGGCAGCTGCATGTTCTGCACCAGCCATCTCACCCCTCCTTGAATGCCAAATGGAGGAAGAGAAGAGCCTGCCTGTTCTACCTGTCCTAGGCATTGGTGCAGGGATTTTACATGAAGAGTAATTGATTTCTTTAAAGAACCAAGAAATGTATAGCTATGGTCACAGTGATGAAATAGAAAAAAAAAAAAAAAAAAAAAGAAACCAAATGAGCTCTGAAAAGGTCCCATTTCATACTTCTGACAAGACAAAAATCATTCTCAAAGTCAGCATCTCTATTAACAGCTTCAGCAGAGAAACCAGCATCTGAATTAGTTAAGGACTGATCTAATCTCATTTCTCCATATTCAGTCACTCCCCAACAAGCTTGAAATGAAAATACAGTAGAACAATTTGTACCGTGTCACTGGTCCACCAGCCACACCTCTCCCCAGCCCGTTTCTCTTCGGAGGGTCAGGGGAAGGGAAGAAAACCTCATCAGCTCTGAATCCTATCAAGTTGCATTTCTAAAGGATGCCAAAAATACCTATAGAGAACACAACAGCTATCATCCACACTCTTCAGTGTAATGACTCACTCACCAATACACTGGACATACTTTGCTGATCTATGACTTCTAGATGTATCGTACACTAACTCAAAAAGGAGAAAAGAAAAATTACTATTGCTTAGGCTTTTCACATGTAGTATTGCCTTATCCATAAATTACTGCTTTCAAGACAGATTTGAGTAAATAAATGCCCACAGCAATTCCAGCTGTCAGAGTTGAAATGGGATAAAGAAACAATATGAACAGCACCGTATCAGATGATCCAGTGATACATGTCCACAAAATCCTGTTTAATTCTTAAAATTAACTCTATGCTTCAGCACAAATCTTTTTTTCTATTTTAGTTTTAGATTTAAAGGCCTCAACCAGAATATTTTCTCTAAATGGATTATCTAACAAGAAAATAAGCAGATCAATTTATTTTAACAAACATTTATCATCAATCCAAAGAAAACAAAATTGTATTTTTATATGCATCAACAAAAAATCAAGGGGAAAAAAAAAATCAAGTAAATAAGCTAGTCAATTCAATTTTTTTTGTCCAATATACTGTATGTAATAGCGCTAAGATAAACACTTTGTGATCAAAACAAGTAGATAAAGAATATCATATTTCTAGTAGTAAACCAGTATCTCCTGAAACACTTTGGGGGGGGGGGGGGTGGGGGAGAGGAGAAGGTGATAGACAAAGAAGGAGGGACATTATGATCTTTAGGCAGTAACAAACGATATTTGATTTCTTGACTTTTGCATTAAAATAGATTCTTCGTGGGTAAGAGAATTGATTTTAGTGCTTATGTTACAATTTGCTATTGACTTAGCAAAGAGATTGATAGGACTTTTCAACACTTCAGAATTCTGCCAGAAATGAAATGCACACAAATTTTCATGAATCAAAATCAGAAGGTGGAAAAAAGAAACCACACCAATGATTAACTATTGCCACAAAGGGAGTAATTAATTCATAGGCAGCTGTAGTTTAAAGTTATCTTAGGATTGCACTGTGCTGGAGATTCCATGTTTTGTATTCCTAAAGGGAAGTTACACACCAAATACTAGAAATATTATAATTCAATAAACTTTTCCATTTTAATTAGACTTCTTAGAGAAAGACTGTCAGACTTAATTTTCTCTAATTATTTCAAAAGGGAGTTTCAAATGCTTCTACACCACTTGCATCTTATAACTTTCTGTAGGTGGATGATATTATACTGGCCCCTAACACAACTCCTGTTCAGGGTTACTACTTACAAATCCCGGTGGTAATTCAGATCATTCAATTTAAGCCATAAGCATCAGGTTTGTGATGACAATCAACCTTTGGCTGGAATAGCTTCACTTGCAAACCAATCACAAGAGATTCTTCTACCTTTGGTGAAGGAAACATAGCAGGAGCCTTCTTTACACAGCACACGCTGAAGGACATGTTTCAAGAGTCAACCAAAAATACACAACAAAATCTACAAAAGGACCAGCAACAAATCATGAAGATCAGATACCATTTTTCTAAGAATTCTAAAGAAATTGAAGGAAGCTGAAAAATTAAATATAGTGTCTAATCTCCAGAGCAACAGAAAGCAGCAAATGTGGCACCTTAGCAAAGATTATAGAAGGATCTACTGGGCTGAAGCTACAGAGCAGTAGTTCCAACATCCACATTGAACAAAGGGATAAAAACCATAATAATGAATACCAGGAGTGAAGATGATAAATGTGATACATTGCAGAAGAGCCAGCACAGCTTTTGGGAAAAGTCTTGCCCACTACATCTACTCAATTTTTTTGGGAAATCAACAAGCAAACAAACAAGCAAGGCAACTATAGGATAGATCTGATCCCACACAGCCATTTTCACAACTGTTTTTATAGCTGCTCACCAGCAATTATTTTGTGCATGATTATACCTCAGCAAATACTAACTCATTAAAAAAAACAAACAAACAAACAAAAAAAAATCACCATCACCAAAAAACCTTCCGTCATCACAAGATATTTCTAGGCAGTGGTCATGCTAAGCTTGTAGTGTGTGTGCAGCTGGCTATGTGTTATTCAAGGATGACTAACTGCAAATTAACACTCCTTGCTAACACATTTTGTAAAGACTTGACCAAAAAGCAAAACTGAAAAATGCTGAAAATTAATCCCAAGAAAGAGAAGAAAACAGAATCCAAACACATAAAATAGATTTCTTCTTCTGACAAGCACCTAAAGATCTAAATAAAAAATATTAGTTTGAATATTATTAGCATTATATCATGTTATTTGGAAAACATTTGATCATATTCCAAAACACTATACTGTACCACTCTCACAAGCTGGTAAACACAATATAGACAGACAAGGTTTGTAACTGGTACAGTAACAAACCATACAAACAGCTTAGATATATAGAGACTGACTGTATTTAAGTCTTTATATGCATAAAGTCTCAAATATATTTTATGTACATTTGTTTAATTTTTAAGTAGCTTCTCTACATCTGGATACTGGCCCTGTCTCTCAGCCAAATAAAAGTGGAAGAGGAATTGTTATGATTAAGCCACAGTCGTAAGATCCATGCAATCCAATTTCAAGCACCACCTCTGACTTCGCATTCAACCTAAATATCTTAATTCAGGTCTGTACCTGCAGAAAGGAATCTGAAGAATTCCTTTCCTAATATTGTGAGACTCTTGTAATCCCAGGTACAGTCTGTGACATCAGGCACCAATTCAGAGCAATGCAGCTTGAGTCCCATCTCCCTTTCCACAGAATTTCTTCTCATCCTGCCGAGGTTCCCAGCCCTTCCCTCCGCTAGCAGCAACCCTCACCAGATGCCCCAGTGAGTTACTGAGGGCACCAGGCTGTAGCTGTGTGGTTGGTTTCTGCCAGCCCAGGGCCCTAGATCAGGTCACCCAAAGGGTCAGAAGAGCTTCAGTGCCAGCAAGTAGGAGAGGTGGCAACACTTAGCCTGAAGAAGAGGGCAAGGCAGGATTGCAGCAGCACCATTTAGATCCAATTAAGCTATGGTGGAGATGCAAACCAGACCCACAGCTGTCCCCACTTACAGCAATGACATGGAGAAATCAGTAAACTGTCAAGGAAGAACAGATGAAGGCATTTAACTGTCTCATTTGAAAAAAAAAAAAAAAACAAAAAACAACAAACAAACATTTAAAAAGTTAGTTGTGCTGGTTTTAAGTCTCTAAGTCTTACATTCAGACAAAAAGAAGCAGGGAAGAGAAAGAGTGAATGTAAAAACGCACGAGCAGGAAAGTGTGAGTGCATGTATGTGGGAGAATGGAAAATGAAGATTTTAGAGTGAATTAGGCTTTAGTTATAGTTACTTATAAAAAGAGCTTTCATATTTTACACTGGAAACCAAGTACTTATTAGCAATAAATCATGACAGCAATAATTCAGAATTACAATATAAAAAAATTAAAACCCTACATTTATTCAATATTAAAGTTTTAAAGCTCTTCATAGTCTGTTAAGAATCAATTTCAACAGGACTCCTAAAATGTGCAATTTCTACACCTGATGTACGTGACTATGTGATGAGATTAACAAATAAGCTAAGTTTAGAACCATGGTGTTTAGACCTTATAATGCATGAAACTGAAGACTCTTTATTCTCTTTCACACATGACAATTTAATTTGCAGAGCCAGTCATAAACGATGAACTAAAGCAGTGAATTTAAGGCAGCCTATATAACAGACTGGTGCATCTCTCACACTGTGCTTTGCTCCCTGCTAACCTGAGGAGAGTGGTGCTGCAACCATCCTCTTTTCACCCAAGATCCCTGAAGTACGGATCACCGTCTTCCCAGCTCTTCTTCACCTGCTTCCATTCCAAAAATCTTCAATTGGTCCTACAAACGCAGCATATCTGCTCTACTTTGGCACTGTGCAAACAGCTCTCCTTCCTTCCCTCAGCTTTGGAGAAGAAAAAGACAAAGCAGCACAGAATGAGAACGCAATGCCCAGCAAGTACCAATAATTTGGTATTCCAGCTATACTCAACAGCAGCATCAACACAGCACCCATATGCTAGACTAGACACCAAGATGTACAGCTGCAAAACATAATATATACTTAGAAGCCTGCATAATAGTAGGAAAAATATACTAACAGTTTGAAGCAGTGGAATCATATGAAAGGGAAAACAGATCTTTGCCCATTAAAAACCACATACGACTGTGCTGAGAGGGAAAAAAAATTTATTGGTCCTTTAGATTTCCAATGATTGCTTGTATTATGTTCAGCAAATTCATTCACATACTACATACAAAGGATAACTCTTCTTCATTTTCAATGTTAGAGCTAGATTAACATTCAGTGGAAATGTAAGGAATAGAAGCAAAAAAAGATAATCTTCACATTATTAGTGAAATACATGATTATTTTTTTCCTATTTCAGCAAAACACTTGCAAAGAGCTGTGTTCTGTGCTCAGGACCCATCTTCCATGAAGACAACTGTCACATACTCACAGAAGGCACTTGAAAATTCCTGGAAGTTGGGATGTTGGGAAGGAAGGATCAGCTATCACTTGGATAACAATATGCTCATTTTTAATAAGTGCAATACTAATATATATTCAAACAGCCAGAAAGCATTAAGATACGAAAACTTCGCTAGACATGCTAACTAAAGGGCTGCAAAGCTGGAGTACAACAAATCCTTCGTGTCACTGCCACCATTACTCATCCTCTCCACCACAGAGGAGCAGGAGCGCTTTCCTGTAGTCCCCAGATGTATCTTTCTGTAAATATAACAGACCAGTCACCATGAATCACAACCACAGAAATGTGAATTAAAACTGCAGCCTAGGATAACTCCAACAGATTATACATTTGTCCCACCCACAGGAAATCCACTTGGATGACTCTCCACTCAGGAATGACGCAAGGAAATTCTCTGTCTCTTATGCTAGAGCTATATTTACAGACAGACTTTCAGAAATACAAAAACCTCCAAAAGCTTTACTAGAACTGAGCTACCCATTGCATATTAGAGTGAATTTGTCTGCAAGTGAGAAAGTCCAAACAAAGAAGCCCAAAGCAGCACCAATGGCAACAACCTTTAAATGTGCAAAGTGCATCTGCCAGCACTGAGAAAGGCCCCAGCCCTGCTCTCTGTAATTAATGGGAAGCTCTGCTGCTAATTCCACAAGGACAGCTGTATGGGCCCAACTGACAGTGTCAAAAGCAACTCCGCCCAGCCTAATTAAGAGAGCACAACCTCAGGAATGACAACAGAAAATCATAAAAGGCAGCATTTAAAGATAAAACAAAATACCCCAAAAAAATTCCTAAGAAAAAAAGCATTTTGGCTTCAGCTTTGCAGCAACAGCTGGCTCTGAATTTCTTGCTGGCTCTTTCCCTTCCTGCTCCTTCCCATCCACTCAAAGGAGATTATGATTCAGACTGATTCCATGGTGACATGATTTCCACTTTGAAATGGTGCAAAAGGTTACACACCACAATCCAAGATTTGAACTCCAACTTCATGATCATTCAGACTCCCAACCCCAATATCATTTCTCTGGAGCCAGCATCTTTTCTGGAGCACTGAAAATTAGCAGAAACCCAGACAAGAAAAAGGAAATGAAGCAGTAGCTGAAAAAGGAAATGAAGCAGTAGCTAAAAATGGTGGATGAGTAACTTTAATTTCAAAAAACCAGACCTGCTCTCCTAGTGAACACTGGGAAAAAAACCTTTTGCTTTTCATACGAAGTGTCCCACACTTAAATGGCGCTATGTGGTACTTCACAGAACTGCAGACCAACCACCACTGGTCTGAGTGCAGTGTTGTCCAGCTCTAGTCACAACCACCCCTTCCCATAAAAATAAGCAGTGGAAACAATGACATCTCAATCACCCCCATTTTCTCTGACAACAGAACAGTAATTTTACCTGAATCATTTGATGCAAGGATTTTGCAAAATTCTTTCTGAACTCTTGTCTAATATCCAACAGATCAATTTCACTTCTTGAAACCATGACTCGTATCAGGGTATCATCATCAGTGCCAGCCCCCTAAAGAGAAAAGTTTAAATAATAATAAAATATGAGTTTGTTCTGGACAGATGCTGTAAAAAACCAACAAATACAAACAACCAGGGTGCGACATGAAAGCACCAAGTGCAACAAGTGGTGTCTCAAAACACTCCTGCATTACTTTTCTACTCCAAAACAAAGAATATTTAGGACAATATCACAAGACATTCACACTGCAATGTGGAGAACAGAGGACTGATCATGCAAGCTGCTTTAATTTCTGGACTTCCATAAAGTGCTGTATGGTCAGACCTCTTATTTCATGTTTTATCTCACAGGCTTCAACTGTGAATGCCCATATAAATTTTAAATAATCCAGTTCCAAGATTATACAGTAGTATATCTGATCACCACAATTAGAATCACGTGCAAATCACCCTTTCAATGTTTTCTGAGCAGAATTACAGACAGTTCTGGAATTGGGTACATAAATCCTAACAATGACCAATACAGAGCATGTAACACCATACAGCAAGACACAGGCAGAGCAACTTGTTCCACAGATTATCCAGCTTTTATTATGAAGGCAAACTTCATAAACTTTTCTAACCACACAAACATGCTCCACTCTTTCATTCATCTTTATTCCTTTAAACATTTTAAGTCCCTGTGCTGGCTGGCTGTGTCAGACTGACATCCTGACCCCTCCTGCCCAGACAAGTCAGACCACACAAACTGAAGCAATACAAATTTTTATGTGCTGACCTGATTAATGCATCTCAATGAAGGACTTGGCAGAGCCCCCACGATCATCTTCAGCCTAATGTCCAGGGTCACTCAATCCTTCGACTGGGTACAATATTCTTGGATTACATCTAAAAATGCCCTAAAGCTGCTCAAAAGTTATGCCATCAATGTAGTATACTTCACACTTGCAAGTGGCCATAGTTAATAACTGATAGAAGTACACTCTGCACTTGCAGGTGGTTATAGACAACACTTAGCATACATCAAATTGATGGTAGTCATAGGTACTGCACATATGGGGGCAATTGCAAGGCCCTGAAGATTGGTTGAGCGAAACTTGCAATAGTGGTCGAGATTACCTCAGTTAGCAGTAAGAAATTCATGAAGAATAGGCTTTGGAAAATAGGTGGAACATCTTGGATCATAGTAAGAATATCTGGGATTGTGTTGAGAATGAGTTATTTGACAACCTGGCACGTTACTATTTGATTAAATAACTTGGCAATTAAACTAATTTTTAAAGTGTCCTGAAGAGAACTACTTTCATTGTAATACTAAAAAGCACACTTCCAGGTCAGAACAATCCCTGCCCAGGTTAAAGACCATTCCACTGAGCATGTGTAGTGATAAAAGCCTTATGTAATCTCTATTATAATTGTATTGTAATCACTAACCAATATAATAGGCATGTTTGGAAAAGTACTAACCTGTGGGTTTTGTGTATAAAAGAAGCACCTGAACCTGCTATTAAGTGTGCTCGATTTATAGAAAATCCACTGAGCACCCAGGCCTGAATAAAATACAGTATCTCTCCTGAGCGTGTTAAGGTCAGCTTGTTGCATGCTGGGCATGAATCTGCTTTTTGGGTAACATCACGAGTCTGGTGGTTTCTAAGTAGGATTTGGCATTAGAATCCAGTAAAAGCCAGGCTCTGCCCCACCTAATCATGAAAGCAGGCTCTGCTCATTGTAGAACTTTGCCATGCCAAACTGATAAATTAGAAGTATGAACTCTTCTGCCAAAGTAATAATTGATGAAGATCTTTCTTATCTGAAGTGCTTAATGATTTTTTTTTATAAAATAAATAAATAAATAAATAGGGGATCTCACCAGCAGCATTAATCAGGCCCCTCATAATAGAAGTGTACAAGAATCTAAGATGTACAGGAAAAGATTTTCTATTGCATTCTTTAAAAAATAAAAATTAATAAATAAATAAACAAGAAGAGAGTAATGCTCCTCATACAGCTCAGTGTACTGGTATAATATTTTGTATTTCCCACCTGAACCTGATTTTACATTGGTATCTATAAAAGCAGTAAAGCAGATTTTAAAAATTATTCATCTCTTTTCATTAATTCTCATGCTGACACCTCATCAGCACAACCATCTGGTGACAAACATACTTCAGTACTTTTCAGCAAGGGAAAGGGAGGAATTCTTCAGGGAAGCTGACAATTTGCCTGAAAACAAAGACTACCTACGTTGGTTCTAATTAATATTAGCCACTGTGAGTTAAAAATACAGTTTTTCCTGTTTATCTCTTCCCATCCAAAAGAAGGCGAAGTCAACAAACACAGCTGTGCTGCTGATGGGATTGCCCTGCAGAATCTTTTGTAGCTCTTTAAGCCTCTTTCTCTGATGAGTTTCTTTTCCTTCTCAAGATGAGATGGATAGTCATCAAAATGTGTTTCAAAGCTAATGACACCTTCTATAAATACTCATCTCCAAAACAAAGAGCACTAAATCTGCACAATCTACAATTTAGGTTTTGGTCATCTTTATTTCCTCAATATAGTCTTTATTTAGCTGAAGGTGCCCAGTGGCTCTAGCCAGACATTTTCCAATGCAACGAGACCAATTTCAAAAACAGCTGATAAGAGCGATGTTTCCTGTAAAAGATTTATGGTCTGACAAATTTACGATGAACTTGAAGTAAAGCTTATGAATCGTTTATATCCTCTACCAAATCTGCATTCCCCAAACCTTTTACAGATGCTTAGTGATACAGCATCCTGTTGGCATTTGCAGTGAAAGAAGAAATAAGGAGCAAGCGAATTGTAGCTGGGAGAGATGGAAAGGGGCATATGGAAAATATGTATGTACCTTCATGGAATAATAGAGAGTCTCAGCAAAATAGGCAGGCACGCTTCGGATGCATTTCACTGCAAAAAGGCAAAGGATTAAATTACTGATTGTTATTCAACACAGGACAATCTTTCATGGTCAAGACAAGGTGTGTTACTAGATCGTTCTCTCCAGTATGGACAATTAAGTATACAGCTGTCAGCTAATCTGTTCCTCTGCTACAACTCCTTGGGTTCTAGGAGTCAGAATGCACCATATATTTCTAATAGAAAAGAGACTTTGCTAGTCAAATTCTACTCCCAGTTATAAATCTACTGTGACAATGTCCTAAATGAGATGCCAGGAATACAAAGGCAGAGTTTTGTCACACTTTCTGATAGAGGTGCACATGACCAAACAGAACAACAGTCCACTACCACCCACCCCTCCCATCTCTTAAAGGCAGAATAAAGGTCTATTCTCTAGATACAAAAATAGATCCCAGGTAATTAACTTCAAAAAGGAACCATGTTTTCATGCCACTTCCTACAGGAACTGCAATTGAAGGAAGCCTGGGGGCAAATTAAGGTGGTCAGTTCTAGATCTATTAAGACTTAATTACCAACTGCCAAAAGCAGCTTCTCCAAATCACCAGAGGTTTCACGGTCAATGGTCTCTTCAATTTGAAAGCCAGAAATAGTCATGTATTTGTCAAACACTGCAAAACAGAAAGTGTGCTTAGTCACATGTGTAGCCAGCCTTTCTCCCTGCATCCTAGTCAGTACAGGTTAATGCCATCTGTATCTCACTATCTGCAGTTCAAATGATATCATCCCTCATTCTTCCCTCTGTCCTATTTTAAACACCTATTTTCTCCGAAATTGCTACTATACAACACATTCCTGCACCTGGGGAGAGATGACCCCAGGCACCAGTACATGCTGGGGGACAACCAGCTGGAAAGCAGCTTTGCAGAAAAGGAGCTGGGGGTCCTGAGGTGGACACCAAGTTGAAGACGAGGCAGCAATGTGCCCTTGTCATAAAGATGGCAAATGGTGTCCTGGGCTGCAGTAGGAGGAACATTGCAGCAGGTGAAGGGATGTGATCCTTTCCCATCTACTCAGCACCAGCGAGGCCACACCTGCAGTGCGGAGTCCAGTTCTGTGCTCCCCAGTACAAAAGATATATGGAGCAAATGTAGTGAGTCCAGTGAAGGACCACTATGATGATGAAGGGACTGGAGCATCTCTCCTATGAGGAAAGGCTGATAGAGCTGGGACTGTTCAGCCTGAAGAGGAGAAGGCTCAAGGGGGAATCTCATCGGTGTGTACAAATACTTGAAGGGAGAGTGTAGATGATGCACCCAGGCTCTTCCCAGCGGTGCCCAGTGCCAGGACAAGAGGCAGGGGGCACAGGAGGTTCTGTCTGAACATCAAGAAACATTTTTTTCCTGTGTGGGTGACACAGTACTGGCACAGGTTGCCCAGGGAGTTTGTGGAGTCCTTGGAGATGTGCAAAAGCCATCTGGACATGGTCCTGGACAGCCTGCTCTAGGCAGCCCTGCTCAAGCAGGGTTGGACAAGATGACCTCCAGAGGTCCCTTCCAACTCCAACCATTCTGTGATTCTGTAAACAAATCCAGTGAAAGGGTACAGGGAGAAGAGGGAGAGGGAAAGGAAGGGAAGTTTTAGGAAATTATAAGCATTTTTCCCAGGGTGCAGCTATAATGTAGCGTGAATCTAAGATCTTGTCTACACTGGGCTACTACACCAAATTAACTTCACACAAACCAGCCTATTGGCAGTCTATTCAAGCCCATGTTCATGAATATCTGTAAGACCTGAGTTTTCTATGAAATCTTATATTTCTACCATGCTAAGTAAATGCTAGGTGCATCGAAACAAACATTAGGATTACTCTAATGCAAATAATGCTAAAAAAACTAAACAGTAAAATCACAAATCAAAAAAACCTTTGAAAATCCAAATGAATCCAAAGATTTAGAAAGGAAAACAAAAAAATTGGAGAACCAAAGCAAAACTTACTGGTCATTATTTCCAGTGGCCTAAACAGCTTGGTAAAATAGACTTATGAACAGATAAGAAGCAGGGGAAAAAAATATTGTCTCTTTATTAACATTTAATAAAGTATGCACCTATAAAAGGGTTGATCTTTTCAGGGCTGGATCTCCATCAGATTATGATGACTCACAGCAGACTCAGCACCACTTCTATTGCCATGATCTCTCTCAAAAGGGAGAAAAAAATTTAAAAAATTAAGCATGTAGAAAGAAACACACCAGCTGTCCCTCAGACCAATTGCACCACTCCTTCAAGCAGGAGATCACCACTGCTAGGGGAAAACTGAATTACAGGAAAAAAAAAAATATATATATATATTAAGTAGAGGGAAGAGATGATTAAAGATTCCTAGGCTTGCCAAATGTGGTCCAGGAACAAGTTTTCTACCATTTCTACCACCATCTGGGTAATAACTGAGATTTCAGATAGAAGTTTTCACGCACGCATGAACCATACTACCTACCCCTCCTTAAATGGGAAATGCTTCGGGTTCCCAAGATGGTGATGAACTTTTCTTCATCTGTTCCCCATTTCAGCTCCCCAGCTCTAAACAAAACCTGTTGTAAATTCAAGAGATCAAAACAACAGCATTTGTCAAGTGTCTACACACACTGTTGAAAAGCTCTATTTGTTTCACTCTAAGGAGCATAAACTTACTAATAAGCTATAGCTGGAGGGAAAAAAAAAAAAAATGCCTAGAACTGACCTGACCTTAGAAAGAAATAAATGATAAATTCTGAAACTGACTGTGAAAGCATTTACATGAGTAACTGCTTAAGGCTCTAAAACTGTGTACATAGTCCCTTTCATAAGCCTAAAGTTTTCTGAAACTGTGATAATACAGGAGATAAAATCCATTCCAAATACTGCTTTTCCTGCCTTCCCCGCCCCCCCCCCCTTTTTCAAATCAGACCAGCAAAACTTTATTACATGAATTACATAATGACTCATATCTATGGGTCATATCTATGACTCATTATCCATGCTAACTTGGCCCAGGAGGAAATCTTCCAAAAAGGTGAGGAAGATGGATTTAGAAGCTCTCCGAAACAGGATTTGCTGGCTGCTAAATTCTTAGTGATATGAAACCAGATTCTAATCATTTAATTGTTTTAGCACATTCACTGCTCTTCAAGCAAGTCTTTCTTCAGTGCAGACAATGAAGAGGCCATTAGCAGCATTTAGGAAAGTAAAGCACTTCTAGAAGTTGTAATAAGCAACAGGAGGAAGAAAATGAGAAAGAAAAAAAAATTCAGAAAATTAAAATTAGTCCTTTCTCCTGGCACTCAGAAGCCTTTTTCCAAATCGTTTGCTAAACACCATGTAAGGAGAAAGGTTTGTACATATCATAGTATATAGTAGTTTTCTCCCTCCTCAGTGAGCAGAGGACAGGCAAACAGGTTGCCACATATATTCAAGCAGTCAAATATTTCCTAGAAAAATCCCCACAAACGAATGTGCTGCATAGCAATGCTGTTGGCTGTCTCTCTGTCCATATTGTAAAACCTGAATGGGATGTTATGAATTTCTTATTGATGTTTGTCCCACAATCCTATTCAAAACACATTTGTGACTGCTCCATGCTCATTTTAATATTAATGGTACAGAGTACAAAAGGGTGGTGTAAAAAAAAAAAAATGCTGTTAAGGCATTGCAAGGCTACTTAGTTTAAACAATATATGCTAAGATATTCAAATGAATACCAGCACTCTCCACCCAGTAGCAAACTTGAAGTCCCAGCATAGCATTTAGAAATGCCAGGAATGCATTTCTTTAAACATACTAGAAGTTGTGAATGGCATTTTATGTGAGCTCTAAGTTTCTACCTGCCCTGCCACTGTGCAATACCCAAAATATACGTTTATTGCATAGCTTTAAAAAAGTGATAATCACAAAATCTCTTCCAAAAAGTTAAACTTTCTCCTTCAGGCATTTTCAGAATCTAAGTCTTGCAAGTTTCCTGTGTGTTCATAATATGTCATAGTATGAATGCTCATTCCTCAACTGCTTTGAATTCATGTTTAATCATAGACACAAAAAAATTTAAAATCACCACCGAGCAAAAAGGTTGCCCTCTAATGTGTTAAATCCTTCCCAGAATGTCATTGGGAAGACAAAAACAGTCGTACAGTTGCACAGTCACGTACCTCAATTCAGACCATCTGTATCTGGCAATTAGAAAATTCTCTGAATCTGTTCCAGCTATGTTATATGTTGAAGGTAAAGATAGCAATAAAGAGAAATGTGACAGAACACTTCTCTGTTTGGGTCCCAGTTCAAGCCAAAAGTGTATTACAAACCACAGAGATCATTTAGAAAACCAGGACTTTTTCAACATTTACGTGCAATGCCTCCTAAATTTAGATGCATATTTAACCTCGATGAAAGAGACCAGAAGGAATCTACCTACCAAGGCCTGTGGTTCACAGGTTTCCTCAGTTACATAAGCCCAACTAAAGGCAAGACTAACACAATTTCATTAAATGTTCTAGTTCATGATTCAAACATTTGCCTCACTAATTTTCAAGCTCAGATTTCCACAGGATTAATTTTAATAGCAGGAGAATAATGCTTTCTGAAGTTATATAACAAAGGATAAGCCCATGCCAGTAAAATACATTTTGCCAGTCTGTCTCTTCATCTTGCCCTGCCATCAGGAGAATGTTTTCTTGATCTGGCATTCTGCTTTTTGTCTTTGTCACCTTGAGCAATCCATTTATTTTCTTTCATCTCTACTGACAATTTATGAAAGGAAAATGTCTAGCCTACAGTTATCTCAAATAACTAAGAAGAAAAATTCATTAAATGAATTCTGTAATCAAATCGCTGAAATACTGACCATCACTACAACTAACAAAGCCAATAGCATTCAGCAAGAGACTGCATCAAGGATACCAGTTAACTGCTGGTATTCCTTTTCCTGTCCTAGAACACAGGTTTAGTGATCAGTGACAACATCATGGATGATACTCACAAAGGGCAGTACATGAATCTCTATAAATTCTTTAGGGACAATTCTTAGACTATCATCTGTTTAGATTAAGGCAGAATATTTGGTATATTTTCTTTTTTTTAGTATTTCACCCTTTATGAAGTCATCCCTTAATAGCATTAGCATTTCATTGTAACACATATATGACACATGTCCTGGGTTGAGTGAGTGGTGGAGTTTTTTGGTGGCAGGGGAGGGGGCTATCGGGGCAGCCCCCTGTGAGAAGCTTCTCGAAGCTCCCCCAGCTCCAAGCCAGCTCCACTTCTGTTTGGGAAATTGAGCCAACCAGCTGCGCCTCTGCGATAACGTATTTAAGAAGGGACGTGGTGACGGGCAGTGGGACTTGTGAGGAGGAGTTGCTGCAGCTGCATGAACACCAAGGTCAGTGGAGGAACGGAGGAAGAAAGGAGGGGGGAGGTGTGCCGGAGCAGAGACCCCCCTGTATCCTGTGGTGAGACGGCAGGGCGGCCCCCCCCGCCACCCATGAAGATCTATGGTGGAGCAGGCATTGATTTACGGCCTGTGGCTCCTGCTTGCATGATCAAGGTGCTGTGCCCAAAGAAGGCCAGGGTCTCATGGAAAAAGGTAGCCCCGCTGCTGTAATTCAGCACTGGGAGGATTGCAGCATGCGGGGGAGTCCCACGCCGGAGCAGCTCGGGAAGGGCTGCAGCCGTGGGAGAGAATCCAGTCGGAGAAAGTTAGTGACCCATGACGGAGCAGTGTGGGGAACGCTGCGGCCCATGGGAGGGACTCATGTCGGAGAAAGTTTGTGGAGGACTGTCTCCTGTGAGAGGGGGACCACGATGGAGCATGGGGAAGAAGTTCCAGAAGCTCCCCCCACCGAAGATGAAGAAAGTGTCAGCGCTGACTGCACCCCCCATTCCCTGCCCCTGCACCACCGGGGGAGGAGGTAGAGATATCAGGAGCAGAACTGAGCCCGGGAAGAAGGGAGGGGTGGGGGGAAGGTGTTCTCAAGATGTGGCAATGCTTCCCACTGTCCTACTCTGTTATGTGTTGTTAGTGTCTGTAATAAATGTATGTTCTTTTTTTCTTCCCCTAATGAGTCTGCCTTTTGCTCGTGACCATAAAGGGGGAATTTTTCCCCATCCCAGTCCTATCTCGAACCCCAAGCCTGGCTCTCTGTCCCTTCTTATTGCTGGAAGAGAAGGGAGAGTCATTGCGTGGTGGTTGGCTGCCGACCAAGCACAAACCATGACAACATGATATGCAAGGATTGAATTCAGAGAGAAGCTCAAGTCAGGTATTACAGAATGAACCATTAACATCTCTGAGTTTTCCAGCAGTGGGTCTCTCAGCATCACAAAGCCTCAGCAATCATAACTCTCTCCTTCCAGTGAACCAATCACTGTTCCATTCAGGCACCTCATTAAGTAATAAGCAAAACAAGACATGCTTTACACTGTAATGTGAAAGTGCTAAAAATCCTGATCCCAATGCTGCAGGTTTTGACACTGCTTTTGTCCAGAATATATAAAAGCACATGAAAACATACTAACACATACACACACACAGAACCTTAACAATTTCTCTCTCATATTTCAATTCTAACTGTATACTCTCTTTGCAAGATAACTTACAGAAAACTCATTCACCCACCTGAGCATCCTGCTCAACAAGACCCTCATCAACTCTGCCATCAGGATCTCTATTCGCCTAAAGAAAATTTTTAAAAATTGTTAAACTGAAGAATCAGAAGTAGAATTAAAAAACAACGTATCTGTTATATTGAGCCTGTAAGAGTTACTGCAAAAAGTCAAACCTAATGCACCTTCTCCAAATTCACCTTATTTTTCCCTTTTGCTTGCATGTGTCTTTCTGAAATAAAAGTGCTCTTCTCTGATTGCCTTCAAAACCCCATGTAGCAGGCATGCTGCTATACCCATGAGCATCACATAAGTTCTTCAGTTCAGTGATGTGGAAATGACCCAAAACAGAGCTCAAGACTGACCCTGCAAGTCAGTGATGTGACTCAGGTTCAGAACCAAACCTGCCTGTCTTTACCAGCTCTATCTAGAATCCCAGCTTGTTAAGCAGAAAATGACAAGTGTACATCTCACAGGAAAAGAGAAGTGAAAATCATACACACACCTGCACACAAAGAGATACTGACCTGCAGCAGGACTACCAGCAGTCTCTGAAAATAGCCTGATGTTTCTCCTGTAATCTTATCCTCCAAGTTGGCCTCATACTCTGCAAAAGAACAATACCCATCAACCACCTCACAGACTTCCTCACTATTTTGAGGAGAAAGCAAGGAAAAGCTAAAGATTAATTTGGCTCACAGCCAATGTAAAATCATTCATCAGAAACAGCTTTAACAATTAGAACACACTCTGCTTTCACTTTTAACCTAACATTATTGCAAAAGAGGTGAAAAGATAGCATCTCACTCTTAGTACCAGGAGCAGATTACTTCAAATATTTTGAAATACAAGTTGACATGCATAGATTCATTTCTTTACGGAACTAAAGAGCAAACAGATCTGGAGTTATGCTACAATATGGCAGTCTCCCAACCGTACAATAACTATGAACCCAGAAGAGTCTAGAACTAATAAATTTTGCCCTTGGAGACTCTAAGTTTTGCCTCAAACTTTATTAAGACATGAGAATTTATTGTATGGCAGGAATCTGCACAGAGGTAAAAGAGATGGGTTGAATTAAACACTGCCTTAAAAAAGAAACAACCCCACAAACACAGGGTAAAAGCACGTACTCCTGCGGACAACCAAAAAACTGTACCTGCTTTAGCATAAATGCATTTGAACAGAACACTGAGCAAGTGGCAAAAAAAATCACTTCTGTTTTTTTATGTGATACCAGTTCTCTAGTTTCCAGTTACCTAAAATCCCCCTTCAGTCAAAGGGTGGAAAATAAAGGGTGAAAGAAATGCACTTAAATGAATTCTAACTATAAAGCACAAAACACCATAATCTGCAGCCATAGCACTGAAATAAAAACTATTTTAGTTTACAATCCAAACTCTAGTTTCTTTCAGTATGAAGCTTTGCAACACAGCAGAATGAAATCCCACTTATTGGACACATCCATCAGTTCACAGCTAGACTGTATTTGGAAGATGAGCTAAAATCATATTAAAGAGACCTGAACAGAGACCCTAGAACTTTCTTTTATATGGAACTTTACCTTGTAGATAAACCTGTTTGATATTCTGCACTTCTGCAGGTGTTCTGGAGGCAAGAATTTCAGTCAACACTTTCTCATTGGTTCCTGCTCCCTGCAGGGGTGCAAGTATAAATCAGTTGATGGAACTACACAAGGAAAACAAGAATTCCCGTTGACAATCAAAAGCAAGCATCCGTTTATGCACTTGGACCAAATAAAGAAAAATTATTTTTTTCTTTCTGCTTTATTGTGTGGGTTTGGGAAAGGATTTCTTCCTGTTCCAGCTTGATTGTTTTCAAAACCAACCCAACGCTTAATAAAGGCTCACTGCTGCAGGATTCAAACTAGCCCTTCGGTGTTCAAGCACACCCAGATATGCCCCAGTTCTTCACTATTACACTCAGTGACATCAAGGTAGAGTAACAGTTTCTATTTTAGCTCTAGTTCATCTGCTGTCTTTCATCTATCAGTACCAATATAAACACAGAGCCACCCCACATTGTTATTTACCCTTCCGTGCACTGTGCTGTGTTAAACCCCCTCTCTCTGCCACTGCAAACACACACATTTGACAAGAGAATTGCTAACCCAGAGAGTTTAAGCTGCTGCACTCTAATTACAGCAGGCACCACAGGCACTCTTCACTTTTACAAGGATGAAACTTACAAAAGCCAAACCAGTATCTTGTTTCCACAAGTCGGAGTCTACCTTGCCTGTAAGAACAACCCATTGCTCTTTACACTTCCAAAGGAGCCATTTCACAGAAAAAAACACTGAAATACAATACTGTGTATTTTTTGCTTCAGCATGTTAATTACAGCCTTTCCTGTAAGGAAAATCTGAATACTAACTGCATACAAAGCTATCCAATATACAAATCTGCCAGGTTACATTAAATCATTTTCAAAATACAGATTGTTTCAAGAACAAGCCTACTCAGCAAGAGAGGCAGGCACAGCTATATTAGTTCTAATCCAGGTGGCAGCAGTGAAAAATGATAGGACAATCTTCAGCACAGATTAAACTCTCTTAGCTTAGTTGTTATCTTGCACTGAAGTCTCTGCTATCCTATCTTCTTTACTGTTTTTAGCCACTTTAGCTGAACTGCAGCTAGTGTCAATACCATTCCCTGTGCAGACACATTCTCTGAAATCCTATGATCTTGTGTTTAATATCATTTTTTATACGTGACAAGAACAAAACCACTCTTGTTTCATTATCTCTGTTTTCCCTCCTACACTCATCTGTTCTGTCATTTCCCTGTTAGTCTTTGACTCCTAAATCAACAAGAGGAGCTTGGGAATACATTTTTTCCTTTTAGTCTACAAGACCTTTATCAGTTTCTTTGTTGGGTGCCATCTCCCCTTTCCCCCACTGCATACAGAGACATTACAGAAAATTTCCAGGATTAAAGTTTCTGTTGTCTGAGATACTATTTGCTGGGTCATGGGTTCATGAGCACTGGCTTGCAGAGTTGACTAAAGCCTACATATTAACCAATTGGTCATCAAAAATCTTGGGAGTTTATATGTAAATGTCGCCCAACCAAGCACTACCTGACATTAGTCAAGTTCAATGTCCTCTACTTTAATCAGCAGGTTCTGTGAATAATCCAGGGACATCCAGTTCCTGAATTTCCACAGGGTGATGATATCCAACAGGTGTGACAAGAAAAAATAAAAATAAAAATTGGACCACGTGGAATAAAACTCACTAAAATATCTACATATACGGATTGTAAATTGTTTTTTTACCTGGCCTTCCCAGAAAGGCACTAAATGCATTCAGCTAAAAAGAAATGTTAGAAAGGTAACACTGACAAGGCTATCAACTCTTCCCTCTGCATTACTGGAGGCAGCTTTTAGAACACATTCAGTAATACAGATAATACCTGCTCATACTTTTGGTGGACACAGTTTACACAAGTGTGCTAGGCCACCTATTTTGGAGTTGCACTGTAATCCATCAGGGGCAAACGCTCTCTAGCTTAAGTAACAGTCAAGAAGAGACATACAAATAGCATCACACTTTCACAAAATGCCTTGAACTAATTTCCAGCCTATGCATACAGCTGCATAGCTATAAAACTTAAGCTGCTCAGCACAGAAAAATCTAGCATCCACTGGACTTCAGTACTGCACTTTAGCAGCAAAAGGAATTTAAAAGCAACATGCACATGTAATCACTGTATCAAAATCAAAAGGAATAGGTCTTATGCAAAATAGATTTTAGTTTGCACCTGTAGCAACACTGTTCTCTTAAGATTACATAGTTTCTCATTAAAATAATTTCACAAAAAACATTATACAGATTAGATTTCTAAATTACCTCTAACAGGTTATTAGGATGAATAAGAAACCGGCAAAACCATGGCATTAACAATCGTAGTAGATGTTAGCATAACAATCCTAATTTAAAAAAAACAAAACAAAACAAAACAAAAAAGGTAATTCTATTAGCATTCCCCTTACCAACCAAAAGTTTATTCCTAAAAAAAACCAAAAGAGCAACAAACATTTCATATCATGTACTCATTTCCTTCCCTCACTCCTCTTACCTTGATGGCATGCTTCAGCGCATGAGCATCAAAAATGTATGTTGGTCTCATCAAAGATACCATCAGTGTTTCAAATTTGCCAGTAAGCTCTGATTTCAGGTCATCTACAAGATCCTAATGCAGAACAAACAGTGATGTAATGAACAAGGACTAACCATTTTAAATGGATACATGTGTGTCTGCAAGCTAGAAGACTCTGGAGTCATACAAAAAAGCACAAGGGACAGAGATCTTTTTGTTTTAATTGGTACCTGAACTGAAACAAGTAAGACAGAAGAAAAGGATACGTGGGCATTTGGAAAACCTCAAACATATTGTGATTTTATTTATTTTTTTTCAACATAGAAATTCTTTAAACCCTAGTTGTTCACTGTACTCACTATTTGAAACAAAGGTTACCCAGCCAGAATATTAAAGGATCCAACAATGCTGGAAAAAGAAACAAGCTGTCTTTGCTTTGAACTCACTTATGGTTTTGTTCTCTCCTATGGTATTAGGTTGGCTTTATTTCTGTCATGTTTTCTAGCTCTAGAAAAGTCTTTTTCTGCTATCACCTTACATTGCAGACCTAACATCAAAATACTTGGTAACTCCTTCCATACCAAGAATGAGGTCAGTACTAGAAGCGTACTAACAGTAAACTATAGGAGCTTTTGCACAAAAACCCATCTAAGACAGACTGGACCAAAATACAAGAAAAGAAAGTAACTTCCTTATGCTAACCTAAAAGGAATATTCCAATCTAGCCAGAAATTAAAGATATAGCAGGGTGAGGGAGAGGGGGAGACAAAAGCAAATCTAGATTTTCTTCAAAGGAACCTTTTACAGGCAGCATGATGAATGTGCCTCACAGTTTTAAGTAATCACCATAGGCCACATTCAGCTCATTTCTAGAGGTATTTTTCTTCTCACCCTGCCAAATAAGGTTTTAAAAGCAGATGCAATTTCTTGACGCTGAGCATTGTTTCTGCTGGTAAGGATCTTCAGAATACTTTCTTCATCAGTCCCTGAGGTTAGAAAGAACAAAGAGTTACAAAACACACTCTAAAAAACAAACAGCAGTGGCACAAACTCAAAAGGCAATGAAAGATGCTTTGAAAATAACAGCCTACTGACAAACAGCAGAGGCATTTAAATAACAAATGTCAGCATACTCCAAGCTGAGCCACCAGGTTTGGTGTTCTGCTGTTGCAAAAATATGACTGGAGGACCTACATGTTGTTTGTTCTCCATCAGTGCTCTGTTCCAGACACTGCTCCCAGCACCGCAGGCATCAGCTATAACATTTAGTCCTTATTCTGAGTAGGAGCCTTGCCTTTGGGCTCACCACGGGATTTACTTTAGAATAAACAATCTGCTGACTCCCAGCAAAAATCAGTCCAGTAACCCCAAACACCCCAGAGTACAGAACTGCAGAGCTATTATCCATTTTACATATGATAGTTTGCGAGATAGCTCTCACAGCACGGTGTCTTACCAGCCCTACTGAATTTGCCAATAGTCTGATGTGTATCACATTTCCCTTCTTGCCTTCCTTCTGCTTCCTCCCGCAGGCGGCTTCAAAGGAAGCAGCAAGTTAGGATTTGGTCTCACAGGGAAGTTTTGGGGCAGAAAGCTCCAGTGTGACTTTACAGACCACTTGTTCGCCTACATTCATACTGTGTGTTTGTATTCTTTGTTCACAGCAACTGTAACGTGCTTATGCGCTTCCAGACCGGGGGGGCTGTTGCACATTTTCCAAGCACAGAGCTTCTACTACACTGTCATAACTCGCCACAGTTGTCGCCTGTAAATCCACAGTCTAGCTTACTGTGCAGTAAAACTCTGTGTGCAGAGAAGCCTGTGGAGCATCAGATTTTAATGTGGAACATGCAAACCACCATTTTTTCCCTTACTCTAACCTAAAAATCAACATCCTTAAGAGCAGCACAGTTAAACTCGGACACGCCCAGACTTGTGCAGTCCTGGGGTTGTCATTCCATGGCATGTAGACACACGCCCTACCCTCATCTGCTAATATAAGAAAAATGAGTTCAGAAAAGATGTTTTCAAAGGAGGGAGAGCCCTTTCCTTTTCGTAAAATAAATTATTCTTACCCATTCCCTTCATGGCCTTACGAAGAGCTTCCGCATCAGCTCTGGCATCAAAAGGAGAGAAGGCTGTCACAGTGCCTCTTGTGTACTAGAGTGAGAAAAAAAAAAAAAGGGGGGGGGGGGGGAAGGGAAAAATCCATTAAATAGAAGATAGCATAATTCAGTTCTCCATACATGAGCTCAGACTAAATTTTAATCCACAAACCAAAAGCTGATAGCATTTTTCTTGCAATTGTCTGACTAAATAGCAGCTCACTCAAGAGGTACTACTAGGGTTTTACTCAGCAGTACACCAGCTAAATTCAGGTATGTTTACATAACAGTAGTTTGGAGGATTGGTACTTACCACACGGGAGCCCAAATGCAGGAAAATGACTAAGAAATTATCATTTGTTAAAGTAATTTGGGAAATTAATTGCACAAATCACGTATGCTAGAAAAACTGCACAAAGATCCAAGACACATTTGGAAATAAGAACTTCCCCTCCTCAAGAAAAAACCTACCCTAGCTCTAAACTGGTATCACAGATTTTTTTTCCATTGTGTTGCAAATGAGACCTACTGAACTCTGCAATGGCTTTCAATCTTTCATCATTTTTCTTTTGACACACGCAACTTTTTACTCAAGTGATTCAGCTACATTTCTCATAGTAGTTCACAGCCAAAAAGAAACAACAGTTCAAACATAAAGATAAAAAATCAGCCCACCCAAACACAAAACCAATTCCACTAGGTTTCCATGGAACGTGGCTCTTCAGGGACTTTGGCTTTGGGTCAAACACCAATATTCATCACCCTTATGGAAAAGCCTTGCCTTTATCTAAACAAGACAGCTCAACATAATATATGTGTATAGCACAGTAGTTAATTTCTAAACTATAAAAGTCAAGCAGTGGCTAAAAGGGGAAACAGCTAGATTTTGGGAAGAGGCAGGTTTTTCTAACAGCTGAAAAAGGGAAATTTCTTGTAAGAATCGCTGTACAAAAGTAGTAATCAGGAGAGGCAGGACATTTTTCCACTTTCGAGAAAGAGCATGAAAGAAAGTGCCAAGACACCTACTGAAACTGGCACCAGATTATTTCACAGGCAGCACAACCATCTGGCCTCTGTGAAACAGCCTTTCCCTCAAGTTAGCAACTTCAGCCACACAGTGCTTTGGTTTCAAGTCAATGTACTCATTGGAGATAGGTCAGCCAGAAGAGCTCAGACAGCAAAGAGCAGGCGAGCACTAACCAAAAACTGGTGCCCTGAAGCACTGCTGCCTCTGAGACTCCCTACCTCTCTCTCGCTGCAGAAGCAGTAATGAGTTAGGTTTATCTCTGCCATATTCCAGCAAATCGGAACACCAAGTATGGTGTTTAATAGCAACAACAAACTTTTCTGGTAGATGCTTTCCAATATCCAGCATACTTTAGATGCATGGCTTTCTCCCTGAAACATTCTGCTTTTCCCATTACAAGCAAGTTTTTAGGCAGTACTTCAAATTTAGGCACAGCAATATCTACTTACTGTTATTTTCCTAGCTAATTTCAAAGGCTAGCATGAAAAAATCCCAAGGATTTGGGACTCAACTTTATAAACTGAATTTAATTTGGTAAAACGGACAGAGACTGAAAAGCCTCTGTGTTCCTCCCCCTCCCTTATTACCACGCCAGCCAGCATGGGGTCATTTAAGTGTATTTTCTACTGTTTTGTTTCATATCACCTTAACATAACTAATATTACAGAAATACCACAATTCCCCTTTGAAAATGGTCAATGGTCAACATGTCCGAGAGGAAATAGTTATTGATCTTTAAGTTAAAGTTTTCCTTTGCTTATCTTGTTATAAGCAAGCAGAATTCCCCTTCACAACTTCCAAGTCTTGTGACAACAGCCCAACTTCCTCTGTAGCTGTTTTAGACAACATATGTGTGAACACTAAATGCTAGATTAAATCTATCTCTGCATCATCCTTCTCATTTCTGTTAACTAAGTATCAACCTTCCAGAACTCTCTTTTCTAAAGCACAGTGTGGAAAGCCTCAACATACACAAAGCTTGATGAACAGTTTCTGAAATTTGTAGTCTGAAACTTTTCTTGATATCTGGGCACCATTTGCATTCCAAGCATTCCCTTCTGATACACAGTGTTTACTGGATAGTGTTTACTGGACTTTGACTACCTGCCACAATCAGTACTTGAGTTGCACCTAGCTTGCAAACCAGAAATACTGCTGCAGCTCTGCCATCCAGCATAAAAATCCATGTCACCTGGGTACCACAAAGACGACAGCTATAATGGCAGAATCTCCAGCTACATCTGCTGTCCTTGACACTATATGCTGGTGCAAATAGAGCACAACCACAGCAAGGGCTGTTAGCATAAGACAAGCTTGGATGCAGCTTTGAGGGCCCAAGTCCAACCTACAGTCTAACCGCGTTCAGAAGCCACATGTGGGCAGATGACAACTTACAACAGTTGGCCCATCACAGGGAAAATGTTGAGCCACCCTTAACTTTCATGACAGAAACCTACTCACCTAGCTTTTTAGAACACTGCAGTGTGGCCTGATGATAAGGGTATGGCAGGAAATACTCAGGCACACCATGTTTAACAACCACAAATCCATCTAAAACACCCCACAGTCCAGAAGCACCCTTATTACTTATTCCAGACCCAATTTCTCATTTGCAAAATCAATGGACATTGGCAGAATTGCTTTGCAGTGGTAACAAACTCAGTCCATGCAGGGAAGAGCTGTCTCCTCCTTCCCAAACATGGCACCTTTTGGCCAGAGAGGGCAATCACATGTTCTAAACCATCATCGCTGCTGGAACCACTGAAGTCGACTTTCAGTCACAAAGAAACTGAAATAGGAGTTATGAACCATACATTTCTAACAAAATAATAAAACCATACAAAAGAGTTTCTGTCAAAAGCCAGACACTCATTTATCAGACAACTCAGCTACAGTTTCAACATTAAGTAGAGCCGAAACTTTATCGAAACAAACTGGTTCTTGCAGATGGATCACAGCATTACAACTGCTAAGCCACCCTCACCTAGTATGAAAGACAACTATTTAATATTTATTTACAGACTTTGTAACTTTTTAGAGGCAAATAAATTATCTTCATTTTAGTATCTCTGAGAATATTCTTTGCCATTTATGTAAACAGATACACAGTAACACTACAGCCTCATAGATAATTTTTATTTTGGTTAGTAAGTTTCCCACCCAGTAGAACCCAAAGCACATCAATGGAAAGGAGAACGCAAATAGTCTTTGATAGAAATCCTTTTGTAAAAAAGGAGTGATCCCTTATTAAATAGCAACACCCTACACTGGGCAGTAGAATATAAAGAGAAGCACAACACACTAGACCTCAACAGAAAGAATATCACAAGATTATAACACCCAAAACCTACCCACATTCTTTTCCTTCTACATTCCCCAACACTCTGACACTTGTTAAGCAATCATGTGTAGTGCAAGAAAAATTTGTTATTATAAACTAGAAATAAACAGCAGCTTCCATCTTCTCCAGAAACCTACCAATGAGACCAACGAAGGCCCCAGATACACAAAATCAGAACTGAGAGGAAAGGCAGAGAAAGAAGAAAAAAAAGGGGGAAAAAAATACTCTGAAGGAAGAGATGATCTTGCTTTATAATTTACGTCCTATATGCCCTCTGCTCTAGCAAAAGTTTGCAGAAGGAGAAGATTAACTTCTCCCAACAGACAGCCTGGCTTCACAGCCTGATGTCATGTGGCCACATATCCTGGCAACAGCATTATCTGTAAGATCAACAATAGCCACTTAACCAGGTTCCTTTTCATTTTTCCCCACCAAGCACACAAAACATTTCCCACCCACAAGATCCCGTGTTTAGCCACTATCAAACACAAAGCATTCATTATCGGCAAACAAAAGACCATACTTGAACTGATTCAGACCTCTTCTCCGCTACTCTTGCTCTGTACCCACTCACAGCAAGTTCTTACCAGTAAGATTTCCCACAGATGAAGAGCTACCCTCTTTCACAACGCTACTCTGCAGCAGCAGAAGTAGCATCTCATCATTTTGCCACTGGAAAACCCAGTATCTAGTGCAGAAAAGGTGGTATGTGACTTTTGGGGCATTTTTTTGTCGTTGTTGTTTTTGTTGCTTTGGGGTTTTGTTTTGTTTTTTTTTTTCTTTTTTTAAAGCAGCCATCTGTTTACAAGACAGCGCAGGAAAACTGTGGAGTGGTAAGAATGGAAATGGAGAATATTTTCCAGCACACAGGTTGACAAACAGAGAAGGTATGCTATTTTCAGAAGAGAGCCCAGAAAGTCACATGCTAGAATAAATGAAAGACTGCCTTAAGATTTCTTGCACAAGAACAGACATCTTGCAGATAAAACATGATGCAGTGTTCACTTGTGAATTGAAAGCCCTTGTGGCCATTGAAGACCACACAGAGATCCCAGTTCAAACTGTGCTTTAAAACTACCATCATGTAAGAAATATATAATTATTTCATGATATATTTACCAAAATTTCAGGGGCAGTAGGATGCAAATTACATTGTGAGTGGATCAATATAGGTGAAGAGCTGATGCAAACACAGAACTATAAGGACGCGTCTACTAAGCACCTCTCAAAGTTTAGTAATGCTTCAGATTGTTCACTTAAATGGAAAGAGTAAGCTCTGGTCAGTAGACTATATTCACATCTGCCCCACTAAATTTAAACTCCTGACAAAAAATGGAATTACACAACATCTGTGTTGAACTCTGAGTCAGTAAAGAAAAGAAAGGGAGGCAAGAAAGATAAAAAAAGAAAGAGAGGGGGTGGTAGAGAGAGAGAACAGCAAGCAACAGCAATGTAGGAACTAGTGCAGGGACATTTGCAAAACCACTCAAAGAACCTATCCTCACTGGTAACCTCAACAGAGATCAAGTGCTGCTCAGGACCCGATTCTGAAAAAGCATCTGTACTCTGAATTGTGAGTCACAATTCCCTGAAACACTACTGGAGCTGGTGATACTATTCCTGTCCTGCAAGTCATACACATGCCCGCTGACAGAACAGGAACTCCGGATACAGCACACAGCAGCCACACCTTCATGGGCAGCAAGCAATCCTCTCTCTCCTGCTAGTTTACAAATGGATACACAAAATACTCCCAACTTCATGTTCAGGGAAAAATCTGGGAGTAACAGACCAAAACAGATCAGCCCACATCATGCAAGCAGAAAATATTGTTGCTTTTCTTCCAGATTCCTGAATTAGCAAACACGGGGTAGCATTTCCAAGGCAGCTTGTTCATTGAGCAGGAAGAGATGGTACCACGTGCACTTATGCATTAACTAAGACTGACACACATACAGATGTGTGAAAAAAGGCTGCTTGTTAGGACAGCAGTGTGACTCCAAAGAAAACAGATGAACATGGAGAGATGCGTTTGCACAGCACATTATGGCATGCAGTAATTTTCCCACAAAATGAATGAACCTTTTTGTCCTGGACATGGAACACACAAAATTCCTCAGGTCTTCAGGGAAAAAAAAGACCTTCCCATAACTGAGCAAGAACAAATATTTCAGTGACCAAGCCTCCAAAGATAACTTACCTTCTTCAAAGGTTTTATTCTTCAGTGATCTAGTATCTAGACTAAATTGGACTTCAGTACACTGTGCTGTGCAGCCTTTGTGAACTCTGAACCTTTAGTTGTACATATAAATAACTCCTGTCAATTGACACTCAACATTTCATGACTGATAGGCATTTTCACTTAGTATTACTTTATGGCGCAACAAAATTTAGAACAGACATCTGCCATGAGGAACAGAGCTTACTCTTCAATTTTTGTTTTTAATTTTTGTAAAGTTAATTACAGGCTACAAGGCTTTAACACTCCCAGTCTTTCATGGCTGCATAATCACACAGGCAAAGAACACTACTGAAGTAGAATGCAGCCCTCTGAACACGGAAATTGGAGGACAAGGGGTACCTAGTATAAGACCTCATCATTCCAGTGACTTCATCCTACCACCATCCACCACAATTAGTAACCCAGCCCCAAGCGTTACCTCAGGCAGTAGAAAATTCTGCTATGTGAAGACAAGAGTAACTGCTTTGCACTAGCGAAGAATGAAATACTCTGTTTATAAAGATCAAGAATTAAGGTTTTATCTCTGGAATAGACAAGAGAATTGCAAATTTCCATGCTTTTACTAAAAGGAAGTTACCCTAAGCCTACAAGCAGTGCTACATATACCGTAATAAAAGGGTGCCCAGGTCGATCTGTGTGGTCAGATGCCCTGCACTGGCACGGGTAGGTGTCTCTATTTTCCTAAGATTCATTGTACAAGCCAGGCCTGTTTCAGGAAAGAAAAATCCCCTCTTTGGCCCTCAAAAAAAAAAAAACAAAAAAAAAAAAAACAAAAAAAAAAAAAAAAAAACAAACCCAAACCTAAACCCCCCCAAACTTTAAGGATTTATTGGAATACTATTAAAAACTTTTTTTTTAACATGAATTACCCTTTCTTTCTTTTAAAACTAAATCTAGTCACTGTATGAGTGAATATTTATTCCCAGGAGTGTTAGAACACCCCTAATCACTCATTAAGTTAAAATAATGAAACTAGTACAAAATTAACCTGCAATTACCCCGAGCTTTATGAAGGCATTCACACAACTTGGTGGCTTTCACTTCCTACTGCAGTAGAAAACCCATAAATAAGCCATTAAACTCTCATTTTACTTTTAAGTGTTTGCATTTGATACAACTATAGAAACAAACGCTGGAGTCTGCTCCATTTTCCAAGCTTTCATCCAGGCTCAAACCACAGCGACACAAGGTCTGCAAAGGGAAAAAAAAAAAAAAAAAAAAACAGACGAAGTACTGCACGATAGCTGCAAGGCTTCCAGAAAAATTCAAATTAGAGTTGGGAAAGCTGGGGACAGGAGTACTGAGCTCCAAGTCTCCACAGGGCACAGCCACGGCAGTATTTTTTTCTCCTTCCTTCTCCAGTGGAAGGAGCCTCCACCCAGGCACAATATAAACACACGGTACAGAAAACTTGGCCAAAATAGTGGAAACTGGCGGAAAAAAAAAAAAAAAAGTTGTGTCTGACGTGTGCCTCACATGATGAGCTGCTTTCCCTCGTCCCCATCCCCGTCCCCCTCCCCTCCGTTTCTCCCCCGGCGTGGGGATGTGTTAATTTAGGGCAGACAGAAAAATAAATCACTGAGGAGTAAAAGTAAGAGGAGGATGTCCCGGGATCGGCCGCGGCCGGGGCAGGGGCGAGCCCGCCGAGGGACCGCGGCGGCCCTCGGCCCCTCGGGGGGGCCCTCGGCCCCTCGGCGGGACCCCTCAGCCTCACCTTCGCCATCTCTGGGATCCGCCGGGCCGCAGCCGAGTCCGAGTCTGCAAAGAGAGGTGCGACAGTGAGTGAGTGAGTGAGTGAGTGAGTGAGTGAGTGAGTGAGTGAGCGCCCGCCCGGCCCCCTCCCCTCGCCTCGCCTCGCCTCCCGGCGCCCTCACCGCCAGCCGCCGCCGCCCTCAGCCCCGAGTAAGGCGGGAGGGAGGGGGCCCCGCCGCCGCTTGCCTCACCCGGGGGCCGGGCCAGGCCCCACCCCGGGCGGGCGCCCGGCCGCGGCCGCCTCCCCCGGAGCCCGGGCAGGCGGCGGATCACAGCTCGCAGGGCCCCGCGGCCCCGCCCGGCCCCGCCCGGCCCGGGAAGGCAGTGCCCGGGCCCAGCTCCTCCGCAGCGCTGCTGGAAGGGCAGCCGGCAGGCCTGGCCCCCGCGGGACCGCGGCTGGCTCGGAGGGGGCGCAGGGCCTTCCCTCCCCTCCAGCCGCTCCACCGCCCGGGGGCTCGCCTCCAACTCCTGTTACGGCACTGAAGGGTGTGATTAGTGCTTTGTTTCTGAGTAATAATAAGCCTTTTAAAACAAAAGTTACATCTGCAGATAGCTAGCCTGCAAGAGGTGCTCAGGCCCCCTCCTGATGAAATCTGTGCAAAAATCAATTCCTGTTAATGTGGGGAGGATCATACCCCATCACTAAAGGAACAAGACCGCACCGAATTTTAAAGCAGGCAATTTATTAGCTGACTTAGGTTAGCTTCCAAGCAAGGTAGGTCAGCGGAACAAGCACAATGTTGGAACAGAACACAAGGACTGTAGTTCTAGACTATCGCTACGGTAAGCAGCTGGGGTGGTGATGCTCTTTTCTCCTCAACATTTTACAGTGAGACCCGAGTATAGGGAAGATACATCCAGTTTGGGAGAGCAACAAGTATGCAGTCTGACTGGCCGTTCAGCGAGCATTTTCATCTAAAGCTGGAGGCTTGCTCCCGCACCCATACAAATGCAATCCAGCTGCGTGTCAGATGAAAGAAGGAAAAGAGACTGCAACACAAATGGAATTTAGTGTCTTTGCCAAAATAAGACATGAACATAATCTTGCTCCGTGAGCATTTTAACATGTAACAGTCACTTCTGTCTTAAAGTGAGTTGTGTTTACCTTAGAAAACACTGGCAGAGATGCAGACTCTGATGTACATTTAAATATTTTGTGCATAATTTCTTGTTGATCCAGAAATGCACATACAGTTCAGCATAAAGATGAGATCCACCAAGCTGGCTTCCTTTGCAGGGCTGAGGATCAAATGACTTGCTAAAATGGCCTGTTTTACTTATTAATGTCTAATTTTAATCTAATCCATTGAAGTGGCATTCCACACATGCTCAAAAATGCATGAAGGGAATAGTGAGCTGCTCATAATATGCATGTGGAAATGCACATCTGGATTAGATGTAGAATAACGATATTTAAGAAAACATGTTATGAAATGGTTTTTAAAACAGTGGTTGACATTCAAGCAGGTTGCTTTTAGTTTAAGCACAACCTTGCTTACACACACCCACCTCTTTCTGCAAAAGTCTTTTTCTTCTTACACATTATATCCAGGGTAGATAGGGGTCATGCTGCAATCCTGTTTCAAGCTTTACCATCTAGAAAGTGCACACATGCACACACAAAGAAATGCAGTGGGATCTAAATCTGTGCTCTTTACCACACTTTAAAATTCTGTCAGTCAGACTGAGTCACATAACACAGCGGTAACTGCAGGCGAGCACCACATGACACAGGTGTGAGCGCAGCCAAATGGAATTCAAACCTCGTTAGTGACTCAAATGTATGATAAGGAAAAGTTATTGGGTAACATTAATGTTGAAAAAAGGCTCTATCAGTATCCTGTGAACTAGTAATGAGGTATCTAGAAACTAATAAACCTGTAGTCTTCATCACTTTGAAACATGTTAATAGAACCTCTCTACTACAGCAAATAGCATATATAAAGATTGGTACATTACCTTTACTGATGTAATGTATCTATTAAACTTCACATATAAAACAAACCCTTGAATAATTTGGAAAAAGGTGTATATTTGTCTAACAAATTATTTAGCAGTTAGTATGTGATCACCTGGAATGCAACTGCACTGCATCAGAAAGACAGCAGTTCTGCCTCCCCTCCCCTGCAATACAGGCTTTGAGTTTTTGCCTTCCTATAATGCCAAGTGTAGTTTACAGCAGGCAATGTGACATACAATTTCTGCCAGCTTAATGAAACTGTTGCAAGTGTCGTGTGTAATAGCACCTTATGAGGCAAGGGGTGAAAGCTTGTTTCCTCCCCACCTTTTCTCATACCTTTTGATTTATGAGGATGGATTTTTCTGGGTTACAGGATTTTTGTTTCCTATGCTTTATTTAGTATCCTTATTAATTTATAGCAACTCTAAAGTGTAAGGAAATTATCAAACAGATGTCTTCAATTCCACTTTTCCCTTTAAACTTTGTGTTGGAGGTTGCAGATTTGGAAGGAAATTAACACGTCTTTTGTCCTGCAGTAAGTGTCTGCATACGCTTTGCTTCTCATTTCTAGTGGAAGAAGTCTACCTTCTTTCATTTCAAGGTATTTGAAATGGTTTTCCACTCTTCTGCCTTTGAGCAGCTTATGCACCATAGCTTGTTTTTCTAACCTATGTGAACAGCCTTACCCTCAGCCAAACATGAGGTAATGACCAGTCAATTGAAAGTAACCTCTGGATTTCTAATCAGTGAAGGACAGGGAAAAGAACCCTGGATTTGAGAACGCAGATTATTTTCCTCCTCTAGAGGAGGTCTGAAATATATGATCCAAGATGAACTGCTACAGTAGGAAAAGGTTACAGAGGAGAGGAAAACTATCTTTTTGCCAATAGTTGAAGTTAGGAGTAAAATCTACTTTAGCCAACCTAAAATGTCATCAATATGTGTTTAAGCAAGCAAATATCTGCATAACTTCATGAAGCAGGGAGGCCAGGGGGGCAGGGTGAAATGTTAGAGTAACACCGTGTGAAAGATTTGCCAGTTCATTTGGCAAAAGCAAATGTTTTTGGGGAAAAAAAAAATAAAATCTCCTGATCATCACAGAAGTTCAGCCTTTGCATCGATTTGAATGCAAAGGGAAGAAACAGAAATAGCTATACCAACATATTATTCAAACCTGAATACATGAACATATAGCTGGAGGGAAATGCATATTGCACTGACTGCCATCAGTGGAAACAATTCAAGTTAGGCTAAACCAGTTACAGACAGCAATTCACAAGCATCACATGCAGGACCTTTGTGGTCACCATGGGCACGTATTTAACCTGACAGCAGCTCAGTATTGAACAGTGTTCACCCACAAGCCACAGATCAGTCTTATAGATTTAGTATAATTCTTTTTTTTTTTTTTTTTTTTTAAATGAAGCCAAGTTTTCACACAAGATAAAAAACATATTAGGTGAAAACAGTCCCTCCCCCTTCCAAGCTCCTCCCTGCTCTCTGCATCTTCAAACACTAGCAGAATCATACCAGAATGTAACAGTCTGCTTCCCAGTGCTGCTGCTGGCACAGTGCACTTCCAATCTTTCCTTAACACTGAGCTGCAAACACCTGGAACAACAAAAAGCAATAAAATATGATGAGAAACAGAATGGCAGTGCCTTAATGATGTATTTAGCTCTCACACACATTGTGACTTTGCAAGCAGGGCCCTTTCAGTTCCCAACATGCTTCAAGGCACAGGTCTTATCCATACAGAGTGAAATTCTGGAGTTGGTCTCAGTCACACTTTCAAAGGGAAATGAAATGCTGAAATATCACACTGAGACTGAATGTGCCTTGATTAAGCAACTAGAAGTGATAATTCAGCAACCAGAAAGCCAAAGTAACCTCAGAAGCACATATTACATTAGCAACCTTGCACTTCCTTGGGAGGCAAAGATGGGATTGCATCCATTTGAGGATACGCTCTGGGGTCAGTGTTTTTGCTCTGGAGATACATTGCTAGTCCTGCTGTGTCACAGCTTGCCACTCCCTTGACCTAAACTCTTGAATAGGGACTTTAAAAGCTGCATGTTAATCCAAAACTGCATCATGACCAAAAAAAAATGAGATGATTGATCTGCGTCAGGGCTTGCTCGCTGTGTGTTTCTGTTCCTCCTGATGAGGTGAGGACCCAGGAGTCATACAGCTAGCCTGAAACCCTACTTTATGGGACTTCACAGCATCTTCCTGCTGTGACAGGAGAGAAGAAAGGAAGACTATGATGGGGACCCATCTTCATTTGCCAAACATTTCTCTACTTTTGGGAGAACATAGGTTTTGTTGCCTCCCAAGGAAGTGCTCCAAAAGCCACCTTTTGTTCTTTGAAGTTATTGCTTTGTATATTATTTTCCTTTTTAAAAAAAAAAATCCAAACTCCCAATATAACCTGCACCTACAGGCTCAAGAGCCTGGAGGCAGCATTGCACATTACATATGACAAAACTACTATGCACATGCCACCCAAAGAAGCGTGATCTCAGTAAACCCTCTCACTCCTGTATGAAATTCAGATATGTAAGCAGGTCTAGGCATATTTATTTAAAATAAATAAGCAAGCAAATTTTTCTTGAGCACTAGCCACAGTATAGAGTCCAAAACTAACATCTCACCACAATTACACAACAGAGTCATGACAGCTGTATAAGAGAGGCAAAGATTGCACACAAGAATTATCAGATATGTGAAATAACTAACTTGATATGGAGTTTCTAACAAGGGGCTGGAAAATGTTTCAAAGTATGCTTATAGCACTAAAATGCATCTGCATATTTTTTCAGAAACAATGTAGAAGTCTTAGAGGAAGAAGAGTTAGCACAAAAGCAGTTCATTTCAAAAGCATGCCCTCTTGCAGTTGCTGTGAAATCACAGAAAGACCAATAACTTCTTTTTTTTTTTTTTTTTAAATAAATAAATAGGAAGATGGATGGTTTGCTGTATTGAGACAGTCTTCCAGTGGGTGTCCTCATCTTCTGCCCAAAAGCACCATACATCATGTTGCTACCAATAATATTTCTAAGCTATTATATGACACTACGTAAGTACCTTTAAGTGCATCACAGAAGAAAAAAAAAAAAGAAGCAAGGCCCATATTAAAGGAATGTTTTCTTCCACTATGTATCCGATGGCTGCTGAAAAGGTAAAGGTCCTTCAATTTATTTAACAGAGTTGGAACACAGTAATCACATTAGAGCCTTTTTCAGATGATACGGAAAAGCCAAGGACAGTTAAGTGTCCTAAAATCTCTCCAAGCGAGATTTTCAGGCTTGGAAAATTTCATGGAGCACAGTTTCCTTATGAAGTTATAACTGAAGATCAATCTTAAATGCTTTTCCACACTTGATGTCTCTTTGAAAGTGAAACAGTCAAAACTGCCTGATGAACCACAACTCAGAAACAAAGGTGAGGGAGAAGTTAAAAAAAAAAAAAAAAAAAAAAAGCAATTTCAGGATCATTCTTTGATCAATACTGACAGAGAAGAAATCACTTCTGTTCCAGATTGGGTGCCAGTGGATGGGAATTTCTCAGTGTCTCATTTCCCCCTGCTCTTACACGAGGACAGCAAACAGTTCAACTGTTAGCACAAATGGAAAGAAGGTATGAGGTGAACACTAAGCAATAACACTATTAAAATAAGGGAGAAGAGGGGAGGGTGATACTGGTTTACAGGCAGGGTAAAAAGTTCAGATTTTAATACTGACAGAAAGTTTTTAAAATTCTTTCCATGCTGCGTGTGCTGGCATGAGGGACTGCTGAAGAACAGGCTAAGAGTACAAAGTAGAAGATTTTACTTTTTTTTAAAAAGCACTTTGAGACTTGCTTTGGAGACCAAATATTGGTCTATATTCCAGCAAAGACAACTTCCTGTAAGTGATTCATTACTTCTAATCCACAACCCATTACAGAGCAGTGCTCCATCAGATTCTTGATTTCTCTTGGGACATCAGCACAATGTGAAAAGGTTAATAGGAGCTAAGAGCATTCATACCAGTCACAGCATCAGGCAGCTGAATTAATCTTACTGGAGAAACGTTTATTTTCTTTTAGTCAGAGGAGACACAGGTTTCTTTGAAATTGTCTTTAGAAAAAGACATATAACAAGGATGTCATCAATGCAATAATCTCAATTCAAGGAAAGATAAATTGTTTGAGCCAGATTTCAGTACTTGTCTCAGGCCCTGGACGCTAATGTTGATTACTAGGACAGCTCTGCAGGACTATGCTAGGGCAGAGCTTGATCTCCAAGCTACCTAATTCTTCCTGAGAAACAGAATTTCCACCCCTGATGACTAGTGATATGGACTCCTCCTCTGGGGCAATGGGAGAGAAAAGGAGCCAGGTGCTTAGGTTATATTTCTGTATTTCCGGCTGTTCTGCACTACAATTCATCTTGAGCAAATCACTTAGGCTTTGTGCTCCACACACTTCCACACATTGGTGTATGAGGGGACAGCCCATCAATAATAGCAGAACACTTGTTTTCTTCTGTTGTTTTCCTGTTCCCCCCACCAGGAACTTGAAGCATTGTGTGACAAATTTAAGAGCCATCACAAACATTTGGGGTATCACTAAGTAATTATCAAGAGTAACCAATGTAAGTTCAGAAAGATTTTTCCCTTAACTAGTTAGGCCATTAGTTCTACTTAGGAAAAAGGAACAGAAAGAAAAATAATTCAATTCTGTTAGCATAATGAAAATTTGAAAAAATCTGAGGGAAGAAAACAAAAATCATCCATGAGTGGTTGCCTCTCTCTCTGGGGGGAAGAGAAATAAGAATCAATTTAGCTGAAATGAACTGGCATAACATCACTAAACAAGTTCAGCCTATGCATTTATTATTCCCAAATACTTCTAACTGAGGTCCTGTAACCAGACCTCTTTCTCATCAAAGGACCTACCACTAGCATCCCCACAAGAGTCTTGAGATACAGGAACACTATTATCTTCATTTTCAAGTGGAGAATAAAGGTAAGCTGAGGCTCAGTGGTTTCCCCAAGGTCACAGCTGGTGACTGGTAACTGAACCCAGGTTTCAAGTCACAAGCTACTGACTTTGCACTGCTCTGTTCTTTCTCTCTTTACTTTGCTAAAGGGCCTCAGTGTCACTGAAAACTGCCTCCTTGGTTTACATATTCACTGATGAAGAAAAAAAGAATCCATAAATTATTCTAAAGGTGCCAGGATAAGAAGCACCCTCCCACCTCTGCACTCTGCACAGCTGTTCTCACCTGAAAGAGCATAAGCCTTAACTCCCGTAAATAAGAGCAGAATTGGGCACACAAAATTTAAGTTTGATTATGAGGAAGTAAGTCTGGAGGCAAAACCAGACAAAGCCTACATTGACTTGTTTCCTCTTCAGCCCTTCATTACGTTTCTAAAACATGTTGAACTCAATCCAAGCCACTGTTCACCAAAACCCCAAATAACAGAGTGCTTCAATCACAGACTGTGTGCAGCCCACACCACCACCTAGATAACCCAAGAGTTTTATCAGGGGGCACTAGCATCTTACAGAGCTTTAATAATTTATCTGGAACTTAACTTACTTCCATTCTTTCTGTCCGTAACTTTTCATATATTCCCCTGACATCGGATGTTTAGTGCTCCTGTAAACAGAAGAAACATTTTCAGTGCTTAGCTCAAAACCTCTAAAGCCCCTTTCCAGGTTTCTGCATTATTTTTTGATTTGCCCTGACCTAGGGCAAATCTACCTAAAGTGACAACACCTAAGTCTCTTTTAATTTCTCCTGATAAATCATTGACAATCCGCTCCCAGACACAGACACTCTAGCTTAAAAATGCTCCATTTCTTTACTTAATTTTGAAACCTTAACAGGTGAGCAAGTCACTCAAAGGTTTATGCATGGGCAAAGCCAAGCAAACACGAGACTTTGGGTGTAGTCCTGTATAGGACACAATTCCATAAACCTCTCACTCACCCTCATACAAGGTTGAAGGGCCTGCTGCAGTCTAAACCTCAATCATCACCTCAAGAAAATATCCAAATACACTTTTAAATAGCATTTCTCAGCATTCTTCTGTTCCCACCTTGATCATTGCCAGGCACAAGGTTTTTTCCTCCATGGATCACAAAAATAGGACTAGGTTTCAAGTAGTGTGATATGCATTTCTTTCATAATTCTCTCTGGATCATATTGTCAATCGTTTTATAGTAACAAATGCTGGGTATTTGGCAGGGGTGGGAGGATGTGTATGGTGTTTGTTTTAATGAAAGGTGAGATTTCCAGGTGATAACATGATTCAAGGAGTCCAAGATTTAGCAAAGCAAGGCAGCAAATATAATGAGCTTCTGATAAATTTGTGTGTGTAGTCAACATTGCCAGTAGTTTAAACTTCTCACCCCCATTGTGTTTTTAAGAGTTAACCATATGACAGAATATTTCTATTCTTCCTAAACTAGCTGTTTGTCTGGAAAATAAACTGTTTGGGAGAAATGTCTGTGGTAACATTCCTCTAAAAAGCCTCATTGCCTTTGCATCTCCTCTTTTGGTAGAGTTTTTGTTTACCTTATTTTGCATTTGCAAGCATAAAATTATTCATATAGCACACCAACAACTTCCAGTAGCAATAATCACAGCAGAGCTTTAGGTAAACTAAAGACAAGTTAGGGTATGGAAACACAGTAACAAATTACAGAACTGTGAACTGTAGTTCTGTTAACTTAAAGCAGTTTCACCCCCCTCCCAGCAAGAACATAGATTTAGTTATTATTCAGGTATAGTATTCTTAAGGGCAAACCTGGTTTTCTTGATCATATTGACAATTTTTTGTAATGATAATTTTTCCGGACTAAAAGGATGAATTGAAAGTCAAGGGCTGTGAGTCCTTTTCAAGATTCACTATTAGACTACTATGAAACCCCAAGTCTCTTTTTCCAGGAGTGATATGGTTAAAATAATATTTATTTTTCATAAAAGCATGACAATGAAAATGCCTACACAAGAACTAATAATAAGCACTAAATCCTAAACTATAGATTATCATTGTTTGTTTTCACAGTGTGCACGTAGCTACTGCCATATATCCCAATCTGTTACCAGCCCAAAACCAGACTGCTTTTTGTCATTCAAATGCAACAGGGTGAGCGTATTTGCAAGGGGAACCACAGATTGCCTTATGTTGTATGCCATTACCTGACTCCTTCTTGGATATCCTGAGCTCTTCATCTTGTTGCATCTATTTCCAATCAGTGGTTTTGAATGACTAATTGTGGGTTGCCTGCAACACCATTTGCCCATGTCCCAGGTAATCAAAACCCTACAAATAAAATTGCTATTACATTTCAGGTCTGGAGGTTATTGGATGCTTGCTTTTTTGAGCAAATACATGCATGGAGCTAAGGAGGAATGAGATGCCATGACTGAGCCAGCCAAATCATCTTCTCAGAATGAGAAAATATCCAGACCTCACTATCCCTTTGCACATTTGCCTGCACTTGTAGCAGCAGATCAGTGAAACTGGAGTTAGAGAGCACTAAAGTTTTGACACACAGCTTTTCTAAACATGGCAAATCTTGCTCCTATAGAACTGCATGCCCCCCAGCTCTGGACTGGTGAGACCAAGGAAAACAGGAGAAATTCCTGCCCTGATCCCTCCAACATTCTTTTAAAACCCTCAGGCCTTGTAGCACCACTGTCAGAGGCCGAATTTGCAGCAGCGGGCTGGGAGCTGTGGGAGAAGGTGGTGCATTCCCATCTGTGCAATAGCACTAGGCGAATCAGCGCATTTAAATTTTGCATTTAAACTACCAAACATGAGCAGATGCATTTTATTTTTTTAATACCCAACTTATTTGCTTCCTGGTGTTATTTTCTGAAGACAGCTGCAGACATAAATTACCTTTTTTCCTTCAGCCAAAATAAATAAATATTTATGGCTAATTAGGACTTCCCTTTCTCTGTTGTGAGTGTTCACTTGCCTGAACTGCTGCAGTAAGAGGCAACGCAGCAAGGCTGAGCAGAGCAGCCATACGTCCCAGAAGTGGGTGGCAGCCTCTGGGTCTCTAACCACAGGAGGAAAACAGTAAACACAGGAATTTCATAGCAACACCAGCCTGCATCTGCACAGTCATTAAAGGCAAGCGACACCCATCCTGCCCCACATCGTGGCCCTGTGAGTCAGAGCTGCAGAGCCAGCTTTGGCACTTGCTACGAGAGGTCTCCAGACAAACTTCCAGGGGCTTATGGCAAGAGGATCAAGAAACCGTCCGTTGGGATCTAGAGTCCAGAAACTCATATTGGTTGCACCTGCCTAGTTTTGGAGCCATAACATATATAATCTGCATGAAGGTACTGTTGATTGTCACCATCTGAATATGCACTGGTAGTGTTTCACAGTTTAATTCATGTACTGCACAGAGGCACAAACCCTCTGCTCAGACCTACACAGAGGTGCAACACACAGCACAATTCATGCATATCTCTGCCTCAAAATTATTTTTAAATCAAAGGAACCCACAAAAAAAGTCAAATATTTCCCACTGTTAGTAGCTACAGAACCAACAGCTTGGGTTTTGTACAAGGATTTCATTAAGATGTATATTCCAGTATAGCCGTGCTGCTATACCACAATTCAAAACCAAGTTATTACAAGTTATTCTGCTGAATACAGCAACAGAGAAGGATGCCCGCATTTTGTCAGACGTTCCCAATCTCAGCAGCTGTAGGAATTTCAGTTAAACCATGCTAAAGCAGTCTTAGCAAATTTTTCAAAAAAAAGCTCCAGTAATAGTCAAAGGGGAAGTGAAAACATGAATAATGTAAATTCTGACTTGCTGAAATCTCTTCCCATATTTTAAACACAAAATAATACCAGTGATCTTGGAAGGAGCATAAAACTTATACAAAACGGGACATCTAGTGGCAGTGCACGGGAATTGCGGCACGGAGGAAACACGATGCCTTCTCAATCCCTCCTCCGTGAAAACTGTGACAAGGTAGAGGAATAACAGTGACAGCACGTAAGAGTCCTCCAAAATCCTGACACACGGCAAAGTTTTATTACAGGAGTTCATGCAACAATTTCCCTTTTCAAATAATTTTTAAAAACACCACCAAGTGATCAGGCAGGTATTCCAGTTGATGGGGTTTTCTTTTATCATGTACTTGCCCTTTGCTTCCCTTTCTTCCCCCAAAACAGTCAAAAGGTTTACATGATGCCATCCCGCTGCATCTGAATTATGGATTCACACTTCGAAATACCATGGGTTTGCTGTTATTTGTACTAAATTAAAGCAGAGAGCTCTGGTGTTGGGGAAAAATAAAGGCTTTGTTTACCTACACTACCCCCCCTACACATCCCAGTATTTGATCTCAGAATACTTTTGCTTACTCAGCATTCCCAGCAGCTATAGGCAGATCCCTCGCTAGTTCTGCACTTTTCAGTATGAAACCATGAGCAGGTTTCTGCAAGTAAAATGCTCCATGCTGATAGATAATCTCCTGCCAAGAGCTTGTCTTTAACACAGGAAAGCTTATTTCTGAGCTGGAAATGGGCCCAATACAGATGCCATAGGGCCAATGGAGAAAAAAAATAACAGGTCCTGAGATTTTTGATTTTTTTTGTAGGAGACTTTGCATTTAAGTTTGGATTATGTGTTACACATTGAGGAAATAGATTTCATGACTGAGAAACTGCATACTAGGAAATCCTACAGTAGCATGGAAGAAATAAGGAGAAAATAGCCTGTAGATCAGTCAGGTTACTTCAGCACAGGCTGCAATCAAAACCATAACAATTCATAAAAGCATTTCATTTCTCCCTCTTCACTAGCACTGAATAGACTTTCAGTACTTTCTAGCATTCAAATAACTTCCTTCAAAGGAAAGATGAAGGGGGAAGGATTTTCACAACAGTGAGCTGTCTGTTCTGTCGAGTCAGATTTCAGTCAAGAAAACCCTTTTTTAAATTTGATATTCAAAAAAGATGTCAAGCAAAACAGCTTTTAAATGGTGAATGAGAAATCCGCTCGTGCATTGCTATGCTCAAAAGACTGGACTAAACTGAAGATACTAGATAAAAACAAACAAACAAACAAACAAACAAACAAACAAAAAACACAACAAAAAATCAAAACAAACAAACAAAACAAACCCACCACACCACTATTTTAAATGTAGTTTCTTTCACATTGCACAGTTCCAAGATTATGCATTTATTTTAAAAGTTGCTACAGAAACTCCCAGGTAATATTTTGTTTCTCAGAGCTGCAGGCTGAGACAAGCAAACAGATTAGTTTCCTACATGTCTTCTCACATCACACAGCTCTGCTCTGTCACAAGCATTTGTTGGTGCTTGAGGTCCTTTACTTTCTAAAAGGTTGCCACCTTCCAGTTTTCCGTGGATCCTGCTGTTAGTTACACTGCTGGTGGCAGAAAGGGGAGGTTGAAAGGAAGTTTATTTGGGGGCTTCCAGCTACCAGTAATAGCCACCAACTTGTTATCAAAGGGGGGCAACTTTTGTGGGTCCCTTAAGCAAGTTCCCCCAAGGCAACTCTAGTAACCAGCCAGCTAAGTGGCAAAACAAGCCTGCCTGACCAGTAAACATTCCTTTCCCCCTAAACTTTCACCTGCCTTTCACACAGCAA